CGCCATACCCAATTTAGCACCTACACATAATCTCCATATTATTACCTCCTCTTTCATCGGGAACAAAGACTGAATCTCCCAAGACGTTTGAGAATGAAGTCCTGACACTCAAACTGTATGGATAACCTTTCCGGGGAGCGAGGGCGTTAAGGGGAGGAAAGTGACAGGGACAGCGGAAAACCGGCACGGGTAACACGGCAATGACGGCTTGGCGATTCCACCGCGGCGTTCTTGGCTTGTCTCGCATTGGGCAGTGAACGACAGGGGAATGGGCCTGACATCTGGGTCTGGGGAACTGGGTCTTGAAGCTTGGGGTCTCGTCGGATTCTTGCGTTGATGTTATCGTGCGGATTGTGGTGACGACTTTGAAGTTTGCACTTGAGAGCTGGTGGTGAGGGTGGGCATTAAGCGTAGTTCTGGGACTGGCGTGCGGACAAATACGCGTAATTCAACGTCAGTCTATGTTGTACAGGTCTAAACGAGTGACAAAAAGCATGGTAAACGATAGGGAGCAACCCTGATTGTGTTCCAATCCTAAAATGAGCGATCCATCCAATACACCATTCTAACGACTCTCCTTCCTTCTGCGCGCATCCTCTGCTTGACCCTTGGCGCGTACCGGATTCTCTAATTGCCCCTTGACAGGCCTTCCACCAGTGATAGGGTTGGCCACTCGGAAGTGCGACATGTCAAATGTCCCAGCTCACACCAATCTACCGGCCCAAGTTTGCTTTCTCATGAGCATAGTCTTCCTGGAACCGGATACTTTGCAGTTTCTCTGCGTAATCCACAGCTTGAACCTGGGAGTTTGACCTGAACGTGGCTTCGCTATCCCTGACTTGGTTGTTCCACCTGTACAGCTCCGGGCCTGGACCCATGGAAACTGGGCGAGAGAAGCGGTTGTGCTGGTAGACCGAGCCGCGCTTAGAGTCCATCCTGGTGTTCTTAGGAAGGGCCTCGTGGATAGATCGTACGCGAATCTCCGCGGGCTCAGACTCTTCGATCGCTGGGATCTTCTTGTAACGGTAAAAAGCATCGAGGGCGGGGATGGAAAGGCCGTGAACGACGATGGAGAAGATGACGAGGAAGTAGACGACTGGAATCATGGCTGCGACAAGGTTCTCTTCCTCTTCAGTCTCAGCCTCGCCTGGCTTGGGGAAAAGGTGACGAGTGTGCTCGACGTAGAAGACGGCTCCGATGCCTGACAAGTGTCAGTTCATGTTACTATCAGAAAGGGTCGAGGCGACTTACCAATGGGTCCGAAATAACCCATGAACAGCGCCTCCTTCCAGTCCTTGACGACGTTGGGCATGACCTTGTACATCAGGAAGATGGCTGGAATACGACGGAAAGCGAGGATGAGGAAGCCAAGAATCATGAGCCTTCCAATGGTGATACCGGTGACATCTGGCATCTGGAACTCGGCCCATGGGATGATGGTTCCGATGTACATGAAACCACCGAAGTTGAGGATGACATCGAAACAGCTGTTGACCTCGTCATGACGCTTCTCGGTTTCCTCGAGGTAGACTCCATTCCAGTTCATGACGTTTCCGGCGACGAAGCAAGCGAGGAGGTCGTCCGTACCGAGCGCACCGCAAACGCCAATGGTGAACAAGCCGAGAGCCATAGGCCAGAGCAGAAGACTCTCGGAGTCGATCCACTTCTTGCGCAGGGCGAACTTGACGGCAAACATACTGGCGACGCCGAGGATGACACCGATTGCAACGGACATGACGATGATGTACAGCCATCCCTCAACAATCCACTGTTCCATGGCCATCGGGACACCGCCACCGAGACGACCAACTCCCTCTTCGCTACGCTTGGAGAGCATGTTGACTGCCCGATGAGCGATTTCCTTGGCACCTTCTATGCCGGTCTTAAACTCGACACCATCGAGTTCGGCATGGCGAATGAGGTATGTAGCCAAACTGTCCGACTCGTCAGCGAAGCTTCTTGTGTCGGAGGTTGTTGGACTTACAGCAGGAAAGGGAAACCGAAACCATCGTTGGCACCAGCCTCCGACGAGATGATCTCTCGCAGCGCGCGAGGAACAAACTTGTCAGCAAAGGGACCCTTGGCTACTGCTTGCGACAAGATAGGATCAGTGCAAGTAACGCAAGATCCGATAACAAGCGCAGCCAAGAATGTAAGCTTGGGAACTGTGACGAGAATGCACAAGCTAGTGCAGATCCACATGATTGTCATCACAGGGAGAAGGCAGATCGCCATCTCCTTCCACCGGGCTTGTTGGTACTTGGCAGGGAGTTGGAATCCAGCGATGACCAGCTGCACACCGATGACGATTCGGCACATACCCTATATGATGGTCAGCAGGGTTCAATATTGGAGTTTTGTGATTTCGCGCTCACCAGTGTGATGGCTTCTTGCTGCCCTTGGGCAGCAGAACCCCATTTCTCCGCATCTAGGAATCTGGCAGCTATCGGTCCTAGGATAACACCGATAAGAACGGCAGGCACTGTAAAGAATGAGTTCAATGCTTTCAAGAATTGACGGCGCTGCGTCGGTCGGTTGTGTACTTACAAGCTTCACCAAGATACCACACTTGCTTGATCTTGACTGAGATGAAGCCGTATAGAATGATGAAAGCGCCTGCCCTCGAACGTCAGTGTCTGCCTATCGAGATTAGCCTGTCGAACGTACCTAGGACGGCGATGACGATGTTAAGCTCGCTAACATCGAGGGAAGGCATGGTGAAGAGCCCTGTAGGCGAAAAGCGGAAAAGACGGAAGGAGTGTTTTCAAGGATTCATGCGCGGGAAGGAACAACGGAAAGGGTTGAGAAAAAAGGGTGTGGAATGAAGACGACCAGCGGGAGTGAGTAACTGTAAATAGCAGACCAGCCGTATTCACAAGTCGATTAAAACCAATATAAGCAAGTGCAAAAAGATGGAGAACGAGGGATTTCCCGGACTGGTTCGGAGAGAATTGCGAGCGCAGTGATAGGGAATGCCAGCCTCGATTTCCAAGTTCTTGGGTGCTGAGCCTTATTACTTCACGTCTTTACACGCGTCACGGACACAATGCACTTCGTTGACTTGAAACAGCAGCCGCCAGGACATTCTTGGCTTAGCAGCCACTCCCGCCATTAGGAGGCTTACGACCGGAGCCAAGCGGTGAATGGGCTATGGCGGATGGTGCCAAGCTCACCTGTAGCGCTAGCTTCGAACGCGACGTGTGGGACTTTCCGCCTTAAGGCTCCCTTTGACCCTGTCATGTTACACCTGTGGACGTCGGGGAAACGTTCAAGGTTGAGACACAGGAGCTATTGAGACAGGTTGACCTTGTACGCGGTGATTGGCGAAAATGAGGAACACAGAACGGCGCAGGTTCCTTTGTCCGGCTGTGAGCATTGCGGCTCGGCAAGCGTCTCAACATGACAATGCCGATGGGCTTCTCGATTTGGCGGAGATTAGTGGCCCTGCACAGAGTTTCCCTGCCAAGTCCGCCAAGTCCGCTGTGCCAAATACAGAACAAACCCTGCTAGGCAATGAAAGCGCGACACCCAGTAGTGATGTTGTGCATTGCGACAACGCAACAGCAGAGCCTCCTTTGCAGATCTTTATCCTGCAGCTGTGGCATCCCGATCGACACTTGGCTTGGGGACGCGTCCGCACGAGCATCATCAGTAATCGTCACCCATTGCAGGCGTGGGAGATTATGAGTATCGCCCAGCATTTTGATTTTCTCTGGACGCGCGATAGGCCCAGCTAAAAGAAGCACTCAACTTTGTTGGCAGAACTGGGCGATACTTGGGTCTCTCTGTTGCCGCGCTGCACATCATGCGGGTAACTATCCCTTGACGCGAGCGGGATGGAGGCTCAGTGCGCCCGGCGATACAGCCAAGTACTCTAACATCATTGATTAATCTGTGAGACCACGATCGTTTGGTGTGTTTTAGTGATCGAGAATTGTGGTTCGCACTGCGAGAGGGCATCTGTTGCCGTATTGCCGACTCACTCAAACAGCGCAGCGTTAGAAGCGAGCCGCTTCGAAGCCGCCTCGAAACTGCTGTCTGAGCCGTCCGCGGAAGACATCCCACTGAGTTACTCACGATACCTGCTGAAGATCTTCCTCGCGTGGAGTAATGACGCCGGTCGAAGTCTGGAAGAGGCGGCGTCATGCAGCATAGTCGATAAGCTCCTTTCTTGGTATGAAGGATTCCGAGGTGTATTGAAACCGATGCGATACCTGCGAGCAGGTCAGTGTGCCATACTGGTTGATAGCCGGATGAGAGTGCTGGGGAGAGTAATTCCTGTCCGCGGTGCATCCCCCGCGCTTGGGCTGCTTTGACCGACGGTATGCGTTACGGCTGATAGGCGCCCCATGATCTTCATAACTCTTTCACAACCTGCCGTATAGCACACTGAGAATCGTTCTTCTCGTTGCGAGCGTGGAGATGCTGACATGCTGAGTGGGGTGTGGGTGTCGACGGAGTGGTGGCCGTGAGCTATGACGACATCTCACTTAAGTGGGCCCACCTGCCACTGCACTCCCAGCCTCTTTCCTCGTCCAACGACCTGTCCATACAGATAGTTTTTAGCGACACCAAGATCAGACTTCGACATTCTGCGCCACCTCAGCTGTGTCTTCGCAAGACATCCCATATACTTTTATCGGTATTGAAGATGTGCTGCGCTGTATTACATCGCCGTGTGCTGCTAAGCACTATTCCATTCTAAGAAATATTGAGGCATGGTCAGGCGTCCAAAGCCAGAAGAGTGGCTAGGCAAGGCACACAAACGCACGATGTTTACACTACGAAAACTCCAATACATATATCACGCACATCGAAATCACCTCTAGTGCGCGTTTGCATTTCCCTTCTCCAAAGTGCGCGTCTTCACCTTCACCTCACCGTTTGACCACCTCCGAGTGACCGCGCTTTAACAATTTTCAAATTTATAACGACAGTCGCGGTTTTACTGCTTTCTTCCATATTCGAACATCGAAAAAGCAGGCATCTACTAGCACATCATGTTCACCCATACTAAACTCCCTCCCAACACTTCTCAACCGCCAAAAAGGGCATCGCAAGAGCTCGCTGAGCCCGCTGAGCCCGTTGGGTCCACGGGCCCTCTATCCTCAAGCGGTCTCACTCTCCAAGTCGATTTTGCCTGGTCAAAGTTCCGCAACATAGTAGCTTCTAAAGGCCCTGATCAACAGCTCGCGCCGCTCTACGTTCAGCATTTTCGCCCGGCAAAGCCTCAGTTGCGCTTCGAGCGCGCGTCAGATCACGCAATCATCGCCAAAGGCACCGTCCGTAAGTTTGGTTGTACTACATGTAAGACACACTCTGACTCACTACTCCGACGTTTAGACAGTTTCTCAATCAGTGGCGATTGCATCATTCATGGCCAAGAAGTCATTCTGAAGCCACTGAAACGCTGGAAGACCAAATACAACTATCTCTCGCAGGCGCTCGATGGCGTTCCCATCACCTGGACAGCCAACTCTACCATGAAAGTCTGGGATTTCGTATGCATAAACTCCGCGACCCAGGAATCTATCGCCAAGTTCAGCGTCAATTTATGGGCGATGAAGCAAGTCGGCAACTTCTATTTTGAGAAGACAGAAGAGGAGGTTACAGAGGCTCTGAGAGACGAAGTTGTTGTCACAGGACTTACTCTGCTCTATCTTATGATGTCAAGGATGAACAACCCGATTCATCTTCTTGGTGCTGCCTTCTCGAAGCCAGGAAAGGTTGAGGGCGATGGGGTTGAAGGTGCGATAGCACAGGAGGATGAACCGTCAACTGGCAAAGCGAAGATCATTTGAGATGAGCTCACTATGATTGGCCGTAGGTTGGTGGCAAGGTGGAAGCCGCGAGTGTGAGACAGGTCCAGTTCAGATTCAATATACCCAATAGTCATCGACTACCAGTTCCGTAATCTGCTGATAACATAGGCTGGCTTTGAGCGGTCACAAAGTTTATCGTTTGGACTAGGTACCCCGAGTTGCGCATGCATTATGGTCTGTTAATGTTAACTTTACTGGCTGCCATTTAAGCTAGCGCGCGTGACGACAGCCCATACCCCGCTGTTTGTATCGACAACGCAGCACTGCTCTCAATATAGCCTTCACAGGCCAGCAACAAGACGTTGCAACAAATGTAAGGCTTTGCGGGGTGAAACATCAAGGAGTCCCAAGTCAGCTTAGTTGCCCTGTGCAGCATTGCGGCACGGTCGGCGCCCACGATCAAGGGTCGTGCTAAAATCTCACCACCACCCATACTTGGCTACATACACTTTGGTCGAAGTTCGATGTAACACGCGCCGAAAATAATGGGTGTATACATACCCATAAACGAACAGTTAGTCGGGACGATGACGCCAACCTGGGGCCCGACGCAAAAAGAGCTAGACGTCAGCAAGCAGCGAATCCCTTACACCTTTCGAAAGTCTGTTGCCTATCGTGCTTTCAACCTCAAGTTATGGCAGCCTTTCAGACAGTTACGTGGGACTGCCTCCCTCGATGCTCCAACGCTCGAACAACTGCTGCTGTCTTCTTGCAATGGACAGTCTAATGAAGATCCATTTTCCGTTGGTGAGTGTGTTGCTACTTTGCGCAAACGATGCTCTGCTTACTCGTTGCGCGTAACCACAGATATCATACATGAAGATTTCTTAGCGCTACTTCAAGCACATCCACCACGGAACGCCAAAGCCTGCACTGGCTATCTCAAAGACAGGATGCGCACGGCGTTGCATCGTTCGAAAATCTACTCTCAGAATGAGCGCTTGGAGAGACATCAGCATGTATTCAGAACCGTCTTCTTTCCGCGAATGCTGGCCATGATTGAACACATTACTGTCGCCGAGGACGGCGAGCTAGCAGCACTGGACCTTTGCGTCTATGCGAAACTCGACTGCCTGCATGGATCTTCTCCATTCTTCTCCAACGAGGCTCATCAGAACGCGAATCGTCAAATCGATGGAATAGTGAGAAAAATTCTGCAGTCGAAAAAGCGACAGCGCAAAGCTCTTCGCAGAGACAATGGTGACGCGCAAGCACGACAGCCCGATGCAGCCTACCTTTGCCAGTCTATTCGCCGCTTCTGCAATCACTATCACCACCTCTGCGATCACATTTCCACGTCTAGAGAAAGCGCTCGAATAGGAAGAGGCAGAGGATGTGTACGTGTTAATACTGCGGTGGTACTTGATCTTCTACAGAGACATGCGTACACTGAGACGAAGCTCAACGTGTATCGAGTTGTGGGTAAGAAACTTCCGAAAGAGCTGGCTGATATGATCTTGAAGCTTGTGCTGTCCAGTCAAGGTCAGCCAAACGAGCCCGGAATATTTGATCGAGATGGTAAAGCAGTCATTCAATGTGGGGAGGCTGTAGAGCTTCGTCGGACCGAGCTTCTTTGATGCGGCTAGAACGGGCCTGAAAAGGTGCTGCTGCATGATGTCGAGACGGTACCTCCGAGAAAGAGGCATCAGCACGAGCAAATGCGTGTCGAAGTTGGGTAGAGCCATGCGAAGGGCTGGTGATGTCATACCCCGTGTTCACGCGCACGCGTCACGCGACGACGCGACAACACACGATCTTGAGCAGAATCGCCTGCAAAATTTGAGCACCAACATTCCCATCGCATCGCCATCGAGATGGCTCATCGCACAAAGGTGGAGAAAAGAAAGGGAAACTTTCGCGGTCCACATCGGCAGCCGCGATTCATCATGACATCAAGAACAAAACTAGTGTGGGTACCTGCATGCGATGATGGCATATGGCATTTGCTACAAAACCTCCCCTCACCACGCTTTCGTACCCCGCTTGAAACTTCATCTATCACCTTCAATTAAAACGATTATCAAGTTACGCACTTTGTAACTCGAAAGCTTCAAACTTCTCTATACTTGTTAGACCAAACCACACAAACTACATATCAAGATGCCTCGCATGGTCGCACCCCCGCCTTCTGGAGAGTTCCAGGTCGTTCTCAGCAAGCCCTTCTCCGGTAAGTTCATCAGTTGGGAACAAACAAAGCTTTCGTACTGATATAATACGCAGGCGCACCCACACACATGATCGAGGTCATCGGCGAGCCCAACCGCCCAGCCAGCATCCGCATGTCCAACTACAACGGCAACTCCAAGTCATCAGAGAAGAAGGGCGATGTACCACAGTACGCCCCTCACGGTCCCCTTCATCCCAAAGTCCCTTTACTAATCCCATGACAGAGACGACGTCAAGGAGCTCATGTCTCTCATCTCCACACTCCGCGGCTTCCCTTCGCACCCCAGCAAGGACGTCTACGGCCTAGACACCAAGGTCGACTTCAACACAATGGAGATCCAGTGGGGTAACCAGGATGACGATGCTGCCATGGATGGCGGAGAGCTTGCTGGAGAGCAGAAGGATGAGTTCAAGAGGATTGTAGATAGCATTGAGGCACTCGCGAGGCAGTTTGCCAAGCAGGACTCTCCTGTATAAAGGAATAGGGCATATTCGGATGTACAAAGAGATGATGATATGACCAATGAATGAAATAAACATCGACGACCTTGTTTCCATTGCGTATCCACCCTTGCTTGCAGGCATGATGCATTATGTATCATGAAAGCTATCTGCCACCATGCGCCAACTCATACAGTGGTCTGTCAGACGAAAGCTCATTCCTTTGTTCCAAACCATCAACCTCGTGGGTCTCGACGCCCACATACGTGCCAGGCTTGCCTTCATTCGAAGCTGCATAACCCGCAAGTCCGACCAGCAATTCGCCTCGAGACATCTCCAACCTCGCTTCCACAAGCCGTCGTTTCCTGTTCTCCCAAAAAAGTAGACCAAGCGCGATGAGCAGAGGTATGCCGAGGCCAACACCCAGACCAATCTGGGAGACGGGGATCTTGTTATCTTCGCTACTACCGTCATCGGTTGCGTTGGCGGGCAGAGTAGGGCATTGCGACGAGACCGATGATGCTGTCGGATTCGGATTCGAAGAAGAAGAAGCGCTTCCCTCAAACACAGCATCCACACTCCAAGGTCTCTGAACCACAAACTCACTCGTCGTATTCCCATGCAACTTGAATCTCTCCCCCTTACAACACTCCCCATTCCCTTTCCCTAGTAAACCGCAGCAAAACTCCCAACCACTGTTCCAACTGCATAGTCCGATATCGTTTCCCTCATTGGCGCAGTATTTGGGACACGACCCTTTTCCGTTGGCGCCGTCCTTCCAGTCTTTAATCGTGCAGCTGCCGACGTAGAGGGTGCCGAATTGGCTCAGGCAGAGGGTGTCGCCGAGGCAGGTGTCGGTGGTTGAGCAGCAGTGGGAGATGGATTGGGTTGTTGGTGAGATGCAGGGGTAGTGGTTTGGTGCGATTGAGTTGGAGACGTCGTAGCATGCGCGTGTGTCGGGTGAGGCGCGTATAGTAGCGGATGTGAACAAGATGAAGAGGGGAACGGTGAGGCGCATGGTTGGTACATTCGCCGATTCGCGAAGCTGTTTATGAAAAGATGTCAGCCAACAAGGACGGAGGTCAAGCAAGATTTTAAACGATCAACAAACAGTGTCCATTTGTGTTCGGGGTGTACAAGGCTGGGGTGCCTCATTCCATCTTGGCCCCCCATCATTCCGGTCCTATTTGCTAGAACCCTTATTGGGGGTTGTCAGCAACCGAGCGTTCTAGTCCTAGATGTGTCTTGCCTAACCGGCGGTAAACATCGTGAGAAAACGGGGTTAGGAATGTTGGTCAAGTTTCAGAACTCAACACTTGATCATGCTTATATCGAGTAACTCTTCGCATTTGAAGTAACGAATCGTTGAATCGCGCCAATGAATCCGAATTCCGATCAAAAACGCCATGAGACTCCGGACTGACAACAAAATTAATAATCATCGCGTCATATCCACATTCGATCATGTATTCAATCCAGTCAGGCCCTCTAAATCTTATACACAATACCTCCAGAGTACATGATCTTGTTCCTCTCGCTCAGAGCTTCAAGTGCCTTCTCGGCCTCATCTTCGTCAAACGCCTCGCGTCCATTACCCCCACCGAGTCTTGCGTTTACAGCGGCAACCAGCGGCTCGACATCTGCAGCATCGTTTGCAAACAGCGGACCGTCGATGAGCTGACCAAGCGCTGTTTGGAACACCTGCAGACGTGCCGGTGTAATGCTCTGCGATTCCTGCGACTCGGTTTGTGTAGCGGGTAGTTGCGATTCGGGTTGTGAAGAAGCAGCGCTGACCTGCGACGATTGACCGGCGCGAGAGGACTGTGTACGATCAGTCGTGCGTTGGGTCTTCGGTGTGACATTGTAAAGGTCCTCGTTGTCTTCTTCCTCGCCGCCTTCCTCTTCGGCTGCAGGAGTGCGCGTGGTTTCTGTACGCTGCCTGCGGGTCGATGGCCCACCGGTGCGGCGAGATTGTGTGGCTTCTTGCTCATCACCGTCTTCGTCGTCGCCGCCGGACGATTCTCCGTCTGTAGACATAGCGTCTGGATCGCGGACTGTCCGTCTTCGCTTGCGGCGGTCGTCCTCGACGACCTCTTTGAACAAGGCAAAACGGAGGATCTGCTCTGCGACGTCTGCATCTTTCTGCTCTACCCGCTTCGATAAACGTGCCTTTGCATGGGCGGTGGAAAGACGGATGAGTGTTTCGAGAGTACGTGCGGTGATGGGGGAAGTACGGCGGGTACCAGCGTCTAGCTCGTCGTTTCGTAGTGCAGAGTATGTTGCTACAATATGATCCGCAGCGCCTTTCGTAAGGATTGGCTTCTCGCGCTTAGCATATTGAATGTATTTCTTGATGAAGGGTATGCTGAGGA